TTTTTTAGTGAGAACACCACTCCTGACCAGTGGAGAGAGGGCCACACTTCATTTGGGATTTCAATGAGCTGATGTTCAAGCACCAGGCTCTGTCACCAGTCTTGCCAGATATAACCCACCTGATGACAGAAGACATAATGTTATTTCCTTTGGTATCCTGGAGCTCAGGATGGGCCCAGATAAAGCACTTTCTAATCATTATTTGGCTTAGAAATTTTCTTCCATATAACAACTTTAAAAGTTATTCCAAAAAATACAACCTAAAACTCTTTACATACAAAGATTCTTGCCATCCCCTTGCACTAAGGACTTGACTCATGACATCTACAAAATACTTAATGTTTTCCCTCTGCCTGTGTCATCAGTCTTTTCTATTTAGCAGTCTACCTGTCAATAGGTAGCTTGGATATGTGATTTTAAAATTTTTAATGAAAAGAGACATAAAATCTAAAATCAAAGAGAAATGAACTTGAAAAGCACTTAACAGCAGTAAACACTGACATTTCTTTCATTAGATGGTTTGCAAACTTCTGCTTGGAATCTTTTGTTCATTTCATAATTACTCCTTCAAATCTGTTGTTTATAAATTTTACTTTGTCATAAAGATCTCTGAGGAAATGGTAGAAAAAGAACATATTTTGCTTTCCTCGGAACACTTCTTGGAAATAAGAAACACTCATTATACATGTGCCAGAAATAAACAGCAACAGTTGCAACAAGTAGCAAATGCTTTAGCCCAAGATCTTCCCAATGGCCCATGTCTGAACCCCACCTTGGCTCTACCTTCACCCCTCATATCCACTCCCCACTTCCCCTCCACCCCAGCCTCCCAACTGATTTCTCTAATTCACTCTTGCCCTTCTGCAATCCACTTCTTACAAGTCACCCCTTATTTAAATCCCATTAGTGACCACATCACCTCTAGGATAAAGACATTAATCCTCTAAAGAAAATGTGGCACATATATACTGTGGAACACTATGCAGCCATAAAAAAGGATGAGTTCATGTCCTTTGCAGGGACATGGATAAAGCTGGAAACCATCATTCTCAGCAAACTAACACAAGAACAGAAAACCAAACGCTGCATGTTCTCACTCATGACTGGGTGTTTAACAATGAGAACACATGGACACAGGGAGGGGAACATCACATACAGAGGCCTGTCGGGGGGTGAGGGGCTAGGGAAGGGATATCATCAGGAGAAATAACTAATGTAGATGATGGGGTGATGGATGCAGCAAACCACCATGACACATGTATATCTATGTAACAAACCTGCATGTTCTGCACATGTACCCTAGAACTTAAAGTGTGTGTGTGTGTGTGTGTGTGTGTGTGTGTGTGTGTATACATTAATTCTCACTGTGGTCCCAAGACCTGATGTGATCTGGCCCTTGCCTATCTCTGACTTGCACTATCCAAAGAAATAAGATGTATGTGACAAATATGAACCATATACATGATTTTAAATTGTGTAGTAGGCACATTTAAAACATCTAAAAACTAATTTTAAAAAATAATATTATATTTTACTTAACCCCAGAACATCTAAAATATTATTATCATTTCAACATGTAACCAATATTTTTTAAAGTGAGATTTGCATACAGAGACACTTTTCCCTCTTCCTTTCCTATATGGAGGTCTTTTACTTCATTTCTTTTGCTTTATTGCCCTGGCGAGAGCTGAAAACTCAGAATGAACACCGTTGCTTTGGTCTTGATCTTACGATGAAAGCACTGTTCTTTAATATTAAGTATAATGTAAGCTGCATGTGTCTCACTGATGTCCTTTATCAGGTTGAATAAGTTCCCTTCTCCTCCAATTTGCTGACAGTTTTAAAGAGCAGGAATGGATGCTGAATTTGGTCGAACGCTTTTTCTGCATCTGCTGAGATAATTACATAATTTTTTTTTCTTTAATCTGTTTAACGTTATGAATTTGAATGTTGAGCCAGTCTTGTATTCTGAGATAAATCTCACTTAGTCATGATGTATTTTCCTTTTTATATGTTGTTGGATTTACTTGGCTACAATTTTGTTGAGAATTTTTGCATCTATATTCATAAGCTATATTGGTCTATAGTTTTCTTTTTCTGCAATGTCTTTCCCTGATTTTGGTATCAGAGGCTTCATAGAATGAGTTGGAAAGTACTCCCTTTTCACCAATTTTTTTTTGGAAAAATGTGTGTATTTTTTTTCTTTCTTAACTGTTTGGTAGAATTCACTACTGAAGCCATCTGGGCCTGGTGTTCTCTTTATGAGAGAAATAAGTTACAACATGTAAAGTACCTAGAGCTGTGATTGGCTTGTAGGAAGTGCTGGGTAGATGTGAGCTGTTACTTTTTTTAAAGTCATCCATATTTCTAATTTTAAAACAATGTTGATTTCAGAAAACTTAGAAAATAGTTTAAAATCTTAAGGAAAAAAATACTACAGTAATCATATTACCAAAGATCACTACTGTTAACATTTTAATGCATGTTTCCAGTCTTTTTATTTATTTATTCTGAGACAGGGTCTCCCTTTGTCGCCCAAGCTGGAGTGCAGTGGTGCAATCACGTCTCACTGCAGCCTCGACCTCCTAGGTTCAAGAGATCCTCCCACCTCACTGTCCTGAGCAGCTGGGATCACAGGGGCATGCCACCACACACAGCTAATTTTCGTATTTTTGTAGAGACATGGTTTCACCATTTGCCCAGGCTGGTCTTAAACTCCTGAGTTCAAGGGATCTATCTGTCTTGGTCTCTCAAAGTGCTGGGATTACAGGCATGAGCCACCATGCCGGCCTGTTTCTAGTCTTTTCTATAAATAACTTGTGCTTGTTTATATTGCTCTATATCTACTTTGTTTGCTTAGCATTTAACTGTTAACATTTCCCATGTCAATACAAGTTCTTAACAAATACAATTTCGAGGGCTATATATATCTTTCATTACATGGCCACACCATAATGTATCTAACCATCATATTGTGTTTTTAGAATTGTTCTTCCTACTTTCCTTACACAGTAGATCCAAGCACCTCTTTCCAAGCACTTCCATATATATTTGTGTAAATGCATCTACAAACCCTTAGAATAATTCCCCCAGGCTTTCCCTGTATGATGCTATGCTTGCCAGGTCTTTAGGTGCTGAAATGTGTCCAAATCTCTGCAGTTTGCCAGGGAAAGGACACTTTATGTTTATGTTTCTCCCTTCCTTGCACACTGATAACAGCTAATGCTTACTGCATGGTTACTATGTGCCAGGCACTGTACTAAGGCCTTTACATGTTATACCTTAATTAAAAGCAGGCATTATTATTAGATCCCCGTTTGAAGAACAAAGACAATGAAGCATCGAGATGTCAAGCAACCTGCCTGGTCATGCAGCTAGAAGTAGCAAAGCCAAGAAAGGCCATCAGGTTTCACAGCCTGCCTGACTAACCACTATGCAGTACTGCTACCTGATTTCTACCTTTGAGCTTTGTATGTGAATTCCATTCCCCGCTTTGGGTTGCTGACTCTGAGATGTTGCTTGAGTTCTGGCCCAGGTCACCTCCCCCAAACATGTGTCCTCCACTGGGTTTTGGGTGCATTCCTTCCTATTCCTTTGACTTATTACTTACTTCTTGCTCTTTCAGTCACTTAAAGTTTCACTGCCAGTTCCTCCCCTCAGCCAGCTAGAAAACCCATAATCTCAAACTCGAAACTGCAACATGTCATCTGATAAAGGCATTCTTTTTCTTACTTTGCAAATATGTTTTTATGAACATCATGATGTTATATTTCAAGTGATTTACAATACATTCAATTAAAAAACAAAAATAATAAAACGAGGTAAAAATGGAGACCACCCTAGAAAATGAAAGATGGCAATAAACCATAGGGTGTTGTATACACTGGTAACAAAAGCATACAGGTAGCCTAGGACCCTAAAGAAATATCATTTATTTATTGCAATCCTCACAAAAGATGATACTGTATTTCTGCCTTTGTGTGGAAGATTTGTGTTTTGTCTTGTGAGAACTGTGGGGTGGCTTCAACAGCTTTTTTTTTTCCTAGAAGATTAGGGTAGAGAAATTTTATTTCCAGAAAAGTGTTTGTGTTCTGTTCAACCTCTGAATCTTTCAGTGAGTGTGTAGATGTGTTAGGGTTTTATTCGTTTTGTTTTTGTCTTGTCTTTGCTTAACAAAATTACTCTCAAGGGCTGCCCTAGATAGAACTTTTATCCAATTAATACTCTCTCAGCGCTAGTTTCTAGTTAACTCTCCACAATTACTTCCCAGGAGGACAATGACGTTAAAACTTCCTCCAAAAGCAGCCCCTGTGTCCAGGGACTTTATCCACTCACCTCTCCAGGGCCACCTTTTGCCTTATCCTATCCACCTCAGATCTGCCCAGAGCCAGGCCGCCTGCCATGCGGACTGGAGATGAAGCCGAACAGTTCCTGCTTCCTCGGCTGAGCAAACGTTCAAAGTAATCAGCGTCCGTTTCCAAGTTCTCTGTTTCTTGTTTTGTTTTCCCTGTGGGTCTCCCCGAACTATGGGCAGCTTAGCCTCAGGTGAGTCCCTGGAAATGCAGACATCTTATTACAAATCACAAAGGATTCTGAGTGACGCAATCTGTCGCCATTTTTGAAGCAAAAATAAACAGTTTCGTGAATTTCCCCAATTAAATGGATCTAGAAATTTAGAGCTAGTAGGATAAACTGCTAGTGCCCACCACCCCTTGTGTGGGAAGTTTTAGAGAGGTAACGTGGAGCTCACCCTTCCCTTCACACTTGCCTTTCGACTGACTTTTCAGCTCTAGTTTGAGCTTAGAGAATCGAAAGAAAAACCATACAGGACGAGGAAGAAAACTGGAGGATGCGGGCATCGATCCCGCTACCTCTCGCATGCTAAGCGAGCGCTCTACCATTTGAGCTAATCCCCCACCGCTGGGCACGGCTGGTTATCTGTTCCTCTAGAGAAGGGTCAGAGCATTGAGTGCTGAAGACAGAATTCTTTGATCCAAAGCAACAAAATAAAGGTTATCTCTCCTTCGAGCCGGAATCGAACCAGCGACCTAAGGATGGCCACGGGTGTGCACCTACAGTCCTCCGCTCTACCAGCTGAGCTATCGAAGGGAGCGAACGAAATGCCTTGGGTGCCGCCTTCTCTCATAATATTGTGTCATTTTTAGGCTTCATGTTTTTAGTATTGTGTTCTCTCTTCGATTCCTAGGTTCCGGGAGCACCAGATACCCCTTCCCGCGGACCTCCCACCTCCTCACTGCAGCGGGTGCGAGCCCTCGGATCCCAGAAGCTGCCCGGGGCTCTGAGGAGCAGGTCCCGTCTGGCCCCTGGAGCCGGCGCTGGCTCCTGTATCACTCGGGGGCCCGGGCAATGACAAAGACGGACTAGAAACACACAGAAGCCGTGACCCGGCAGTCGCTCAGCCGAGCGCAGACCCACAGCTGCGCTGGGAACCTGCCCGAGCAGGTCTCCGAGCGGGGGAATCGCAAAAAAGAATTCCCGCGCAGGCTGGGAGGCCCAAAAGGGATAGAAAGCGCTAGACTTTCCCACTGCTCGTTGAAATGCAATGTGACATTGAAGGAACCCAAAGAAAGGGCCATAAATCATCGGAAGCTGCAAAAACCTACGCTTGTCTCCTTCGAGCCGGAATCGAACCAGCGACCTAAGGATGTCTCCTGCTGAGGAAGTAGCTACAGTCCTCCGCTCTACCAGCTGAGCTATCGAAGGGACGCGTAATTGCGCCTGCGTCCCTTGAGGTACAACACAGAAAAACCTAAGGGCCCGTCCAAGCAGCCGGAGATTGCACTGAGCATGCGTAATCCGAGGAGCGCAGAGCCCCAGAGCCGGCCTGCGTAGTCTACGCGTGCGCAGAAAGACAGCGCGCCCTGGCTCGCGTGCCTGACTGACCTGGGAGAGGCAAGTGAACCCGTGTCTGGCGCCGGCGGTGCCGAGACCCTGCTACTCCACTGTCGCCCCTTGTCGTACTTTACCAGCCTGCATTGTCCTTTAAAGTGGTTGCCGAGTGTGTTCTCAACAAGCTGTAATCCAACCACCAGTAGGACGTTTGGCGTGACGTACCAGTGGCGCAATGGGCAACGAGTCTGACCGTGGATCAAAAGATTGCAGGTTCGGCTCCTGCCTGCCTGGTTTGGCGTTTTTGTCACCTGAGGTAAACCAGAAATCGTATCTCCTCTGCGTCCCCAAACCGCGGATGCAGGCAGTTTGGATTTCTACAGTGTCCGTTGCACTTTGAGCCCGGGAGGCCTTACCGGCGCTGCCAGTCCAACTCCCGCGGGGGAAGGGAAGGCCCCTAGGGCTCTCCGGACGAGAAAGCCCCCGGTTAGGAAGACGCCACTGAAGCCCGCGGTTCTGTAGACAGAGCTCGTTCCACCGCAGTTGCTTTAAGGACGTCAGTCACTAAGTTCGTAATGTCCCCTCACCAACTCCTGGCTTTGCAAAGAGAGAGGGAAGAAGATTAAGTTGACCTAAAATGTCTTTTCGATCTGGTTATTATTTTATGTTTAATTTTAACAGAGGTATTCGATTTCAGATAGGCCTATAATTCTACTTCGTAGGCCTATTTTTGTAAGGTCATAGTCAGCGTTTATAAATTGTTAAAGGTTTGCTGCCATACTCCCACTCAGTTGTTAGCACAGCTTAAAAACCATCCAGCGACCTGGGTTTTGCCTTTTAGGGGTCTTTTAACCAAGAAGGCATCATGTTGGTTTGGGCAAACGTGAGTTTCTATGTTGATATTATTATAATAATATTTGTGGAAGGGAGTTTGGGATTATTTCTTAAATCTCCCTATAAGATAGCAATTCCCAAAAGTAAAAGCTTTAATAAAATGTAAAGTTAGGGAAGAGAAAATAGGAAGTTAGAAAAAAGAAAAGGGCTGGATTTTTAAGTGGGAAAGTGGCTTCCTTAAGACTGCAGAAACATGGGGAGATTATTTTTGTTTCTTAGTGACTGTTTTGCCATTTTTGCATGTAACAAGCTAACATATCTTTAAAGTTATAGACCGTTTCTGAGAGTTTTAGAAAGTGACCTCTGAGAGATGGGGGAGGTGAGTTGCACCCGTCTCGCTCAAGTTCATAGACAGAACAATGTAAATTAGGCTAAGAGAAAAGAGCCTTATTTTAGTCCTACCTTCTGCTTGTTTTACAAGGGTGGCAAGCAGGGCATTTATTAAATTATTATTATTTTTTATAAACAGAGTCTTGGTTTGTTACTCAGGTTGGGGTTCAGTGGTGCATTCATAGCTCACTGCAGCTGGAACTTCTGAGCTCAAGTGATTTTCCTGCCTCAGCCTCCTGGAATTACAGGCATGCGTCACCTCACCTGCCTCTGGCTTTGTTGTCCAGGCTGGTCTTGAACTCTTGGCTTCAAGTGATCCTCTGCCTCGGCCTCATAAAGTGCAGAGATTAAGGCACAAGCTACCATACCTAGCCAAGCCCCTTTCCCCAACAACCAACCTTACTTGAGTAATAGGTTTCAGGGAGGCCAAACATGCATGATTTTTGGCTTTCTTACTTGTAAGTGACAGAAATTCACAAAAGCTAGTATAAGCAAGACATTTATTATAATGATACAGGGGTGTCCCCAGGAAACCAAGGATGAAATGTAACTAGGCCTTCTTAAAGTTTTCTCTCTCAGTGTTTCTCAGCTCCTCTCTAGTGCACACAGTTGGAAATATGGTGCTGTCCCCAACCCTAAAAGTTCTGGAGCTTTATTCTTCACAGTCTATCACACAGAGAGCTACTTCTCTTTCTCAGGCCTGACTGCCAAACTCTCCATTATTCTCGGCCTCATTTAGGTGCTCACCCACTGTGTCCAGGGATCAGGATTACATGTATGGCTGGGTGCATATGACTACACCCCCTCCTTCCCAGGAGTGATAAAAATACACAAAAAGAAAAAAAATCTATTGCAACATGGAAAACTACAGTAAGTGTAATCAACATACCAGAGATTTTAAATAATTTCTGGAAGGTGGAAATCAAATGAGATTATATGGACACATAATCCAAAATGGAGGGAAACACAACTCCAAATGCATATCCTGCAAGCTAGTGGAGACAAAACCATTCTCCCCATGGAGCTCACAAGAGACTGCAGTCACAGAGGCAGCAGCACAGAGGTCAGCCGCTCACAACATTGTGCAGCTGTTGCTGAATTTGTTGCCAGGGAGAGTCCACTGGAGAATGGCTTAAGCAGAGTAGATTTGCCAGACTAGAGTCTGTGAAGTGGTATAGGGCTAGGGAGCAGGGCAGAGTAGAGCCTAATAGAGATGGAGGGAACAGGAAGGCCACCCTACCCAACTCTCAGAGTGAGTTAGTCCTTGAGTTGGCAGGTTGGGGGATCTTGGGCCAGCATGGCTATTCCCCACCCATGCACCACAAATGCAAAGCCTCATTGTCCCCAGGACACAGCCATTTTTACAGATACCAATGTATTCTTTCATGTTGTGTTTACCAGACATTTGGGAGAAAATAACAACTTAAAAAAGAAAGTCCATAACTGTAGAGCCTACTGTATATATTATTTATTGTCTTCTTATTGTCTGTTTGCCATTCCAGAATGTGTGCTCCACCAAGATAGAGATTTGTGTCTGCTTTGCTTACTGCTGTATCCTCAGCTCTAGATCAATGACTGTCATGTAGTACAAACTAAATAAATATTTGGTAAAAGAGTAAATGTGAGCCAGGCACAGTGGCATACACATCTTATTTAATATTTATATGTGCATGGCAGTCTTTATAGGAAAAACGAAGACCCAAAGACATTAGGTCCAAAAGCTTATGTACCTTTTTAAACAAAGAATGATAAATATTAGGGATGTGACAAGACAAAGGGGCATGGGCTGGGGATAGTAAACTGTGGGGTTTTGAGTGGCTGGGGCATTGTCCAATGTCAAAGAACTTTTTAAAAGGTAATACCTTACTGGCACATAATAAGCATAATATATGTTTCCTATTTTATCTTTGAAAGTTTTCTTAGCACTATCTAAACATCCTGGAAAATTATAGCAGGAAGTTTATGTATCAGAATTTTTAAAATCACAATTATTAGTACTAGCTACTCTAGAATGACTTTAAAAATTTTTTTTAAATCCAACTTTTCACTTGATTACTGTTGCAGTTAATGGTTTATCAGAAGAGAAGGTGGCAAAGACATAGCTGCAGTGATCATAAAGATCTCCTGAGTAAGGAGGTGCTGGCGGGGGTGGGAGGTCTCAGGGAGAAGGGAGGGAATAAATAGTCGGAGGGGAAGGAGTGGGAGTGAAGTAAGAGATATAGGAAGCCTTCAGATTTGCTCTTGAGGAAGTCACAGGGAATTAACAAGAGAGATTCCTTAGAAAATCTCCTGGAGTTGCAAAGGGCAATTGAAGACAGAGGTAGATAATAAAGGGAGTGACAGAATGAGTATATTCTCTTGAAAGTAAGAGAACTCTGGCAAAGAATTGGATGGGGAGTTGGGAGGAGAGTAGGATTCATTTTCAAGAACAAATGGAGTTGGAAACACAAGATCATCCTGGAGAGGCAATATAGTGCAGCTATTAATATCATGGCCTCAGGACCAGCCTGCTCTACTCCTTAACTGGGTAATCTTAGTTAAGTTACTTATGTGTGTTCTAGTTACTTAGTCTAAAAAATGGCACATGATGATGGTGACAGTACCTGTCTCACAGATTGTTGCATTAAATGAATCAATATAAAACTCTTAGGGCAGTGTCTGGTACTAAGCATGAACACTATTGGTTATTAATCTTTTAGAAATTTTATTTTTATGAAATAAGTCATCTTCCTCAAATACAAATAAGTGTGCCTATGAACCTAAAGCCAACACTTTCAAATCCTCTATTTTGAGGGATGAGATGTGGTGGTAAAAGGTAAAAGAGAGAGCTAAGAAATGCAGAAGATGAGCAGGAAAGTGACTCATTTTATTTTGTTAAAACTTTATCCTTTGACTCAGAATAATATGTATCTTTCAAGTTTTGGTAGCTAAAATTTAATTTTCTAGTATGTTACACATTGATTTTTAAAAAATTTCCATGGCAAATACAATAATTTGTTTTTTGAAATGAATGCATTTTATTTAAAACTATTATGCTAAGAAGTTAATGTAGCCAGGTGCGGTGGCTCACACCTGTAATCCCAGCACTTTGGAATGCCAGGGCAGGCAGAACACTTGGGGTCAGGAGTTCAAGATCAGCCTGGCTAACATGGTGAAACCCCGTCTCTACTAAAAATACAAAAATTAGTTGAACGTGGTGGCATGCAACTATAGTCCCAGCTACTTGGGAGGCTGAGGCAGGAGAATTGCTTGAACCCAGGAAGCGGAGGTTGCAGTGAGACTCTGTCTCAAAATAATAATAATAAATTAATCAATGTATAAACAGTTTTTTTTTCTAGGTATTCTAGAAGACTTATTCTAAAAGAATTAAGATATATATGTGTGTTTTGGTAAAGAAAAACGCACATGTATTTTTTTTTAATCATGTTTTAATGTAAGACAGCAAAAAACATAAATGGGTGATTCATGGAACTTTTTAAGAAGTTTCCCATTCTGGCAGCACAGTGCCCAGGATAGGTAGTGAGCCGCTAACACAGGCTGTTCATTGGACTCTCTGTAACCAGTGCTGAGGCTCACACTCAGCATTTTTCTTCTTGCCTTGATGCTTCCCTGCTGAGATGCTTGTGGGTTCAGAATGACTGCCAGTGCTTCTGTATAGCACTTCTGTTGACCCCCACAAGATACTTCAGCAGTTCCTCTTCTGATGAAGAGTGGCTTCTTGTTTCTCTGTAGCTGAAGGGGCATTCTGCAGAATTCATTCCCTCATTCATAGGCATTCATGTGCTTGCATTTGTCACACACCACTGTAATCAGAAACTAGCCCTTTGTGAGGAACTGGCCAGAACCCCTCTAGCAATTTGATTCTATCATCTGATTCTGATTCCGATCCCTGCCCTGTTCTCATTTTAACCACTCTTGGACCAGCCTCCTGGGTGAGTTAGCAGTAGAAACAAAAAATTCCATGTGAGAAAGGAAAATGAGGTCTGGGTGATACAGAGAAGGAGAGGTTTGTGATTTGTAAGTTGTTTTTCAAAATAGGCCTGACCTTTTGCTTAAAAAGACGACAGGAAGGAAATGGAATGGCTCAAATTATCCGCAGATTGGGCTATTTATCCTATTGTTTCCTCCAAATGGAAAGTGGCATTTGTTTGTTGAGTACAGCGTTCCAAGCACTTGCTGGTTACTGGAGCTGTTAATATCAGGTGTCTCCATGGGTCTTGTTGGGTGACAGAGTTTACATGCATGAAGAGTCACAGTACATTTGTCTGTGTGTGTCAACATATACAAATTCATTTAAAACCACCTTATATTTATTACACATTTGACTTTTCAGATTTCTTTCACTTTTGTCATTTTATCTGGTCATCCAGCAACTTGAAAGGTGGTCAGGGCAGATATGAAAACAGAGCCATAGAGAGATTAGCCATGTTACTCTCATCTCACTTGGTCACAAGGCTAGTTAACGAAAGCTTAGATTAGAACCAGGTTTCTAAACTTTCAAACGAAGTCTCTGTCTACTTGATTACATAGAAAAAAAATTTCAGTAACTCAAGAGTTAGAGCAGAATTTTAATGACTTCAGAACTGTCAGAGCTATACCACTAATTTTCACAATATATATTTAGCAGCAATTGACTATAATTTGGTGGTGGGGGGAATAAGAAACAAGAAAAAGGCATTTTATACAATATTATATAAAAACATAACAAGATCTTGAAAATGCAATATTATATAAAGAAGTAAAGACCTAGAAAAACAAACACTTTTGCTGCCATAGTAGTTTATAAATAGCACATGGTTTCTACTACTTAATAAATGTAAGAATCAAACAAGCAAATGCAGAGATGACCTCTGGGCTTAAATTGTGTAACATGCACAGAGCAGAGCAATTTCTGGTCAAGGTAATTAATTTTAACATAAATGACGTGATATGCATTTTGGTGCGAATTTAGGCTATAGAGTTTAGAGCTTTACCCCTTCTTGTGTTTTGTTCCCCCTTAGTCTGGCTAACCTGACCTAGTTATACAAAAATTATTTTATTAGAAAGTGATCAACATGATGATGGGGGCTGATTCAGGCTCAGGATGATTTTCTGGATAATTTACAACATTTAACCGGGTTGCAGTTTTGTTTTGTTTTTAAGCCATTCTACAAATACACAAAAAACCTGTCTCTTCATGGTTTTACTTACCAATTTTTAGTAAATGCCAATTTTTAATGTTCCAAAAACATACCTTAAAATAATGTGATTTGTTTTTAAAAAACTTAATCATTCCTTTCTGCCTCTTTAAACATTTCTATAACTTTATCAAATATTAACTAGAAAGAGGTTCCACACGCAAAAACTGTAAGTTCTCATATATTTGAATGATGATGTTTGTGGTAGCTATGAATACTGTGTATAGTTAAATTGAAGAAAAGTGGCTTCTGTTCTGGAATATTACTTTAGTCAGTTAAGAATCAGGTCTGCCTCACATAAAGGGCAGGTTCATAAAGCCTGTATAATTCCACTGTCCTACATCAGGCAAGGAGCATAAAATAACTCTTCAGGCCTTTATTCACCCAAATTGAATGTGTTTCATAAGAAATTCTACTCAGAGAGAAAGTCTGCATACTGAGAAAATTATATAGCAAGCATGTTTTCCTAACCCAAAAATAAAATACCAAGATGGAAAAGTTCACAGCACTTTATGCCCCACACGCTCCCCCACGACCATCTGGAGACAAGACTGAACTGAGAGGAAGGACTATGGACTCTCTGTGGGCTCAGTATCAAGAGTCCGTGCAATAACTTCGAGATCCTTCTTTGATTAGCTGTGTTTTCTCATTTGCGTTTGTAGGCTGGAGAAAAACTGGAAAGTCCATATCTAAAAAGAAACAAAGCAAAGCAATAAACACTCTCAGCATATTACAGTTCTTTTAATGAAGCAAGTGATAGGTATTTTTGTTAAAATCATGACTGGTAACTCAATTCATAAGATATCAATATACCTACCATTTTAAGGACTTCAGAGGGAGAGGCACTGTCTCTACTCTTCATTCAAGTTTTGTCAGTAATGGAATTACAAAACCAAAACACTAAACCCAGCTTTTACCTGGAGGGCACTTGCTGAACCTGGTGAACTTGAACTTTAGTTTTCACCATCTTGTGGGGATAGAGACAGAATCATCACATATAGTTGTGCAGATTGGAAACTGAACATTATCAAAGGGCACCTTTCACATAGACTACATGTATAACTACAGGAAAGGTGTAGTTTAGATGAAAGATGCACCCTGGAATTACGTAGTGTACAATTGCATGACTGGTCCTTGTTGTGACAGGAGTCAAAACTGAGAGTTTGCTTAGAGAGAGAGTCTAATAGAAATCTCCTTACATAAAGCTAGTGCCCAAAATGGTTATGCTTTCTCCAAAATCACTATATTTCTAAATCTACAAAGAGATTTCTTAGTCTTAAATTTGGGTGCTGAGTTGAGGAAGCTGCCCAAAAAATGTTTAATGGCAAGCCAGTGAACACACAAGTTGACAGATCAAGTTTTCAATAACTCTGTGTTCTAAGAAACCTCAAGATGATAATTTAGTTTAAAGAGGTCCAGTGCAAGATGTGTTTTCAGGCACTTAGCAAAAGTCAGTGACCTCACCTTCAACCTAGGCCTCAAAATATCACTATAAAATTGCAAGAAACATGAGCTCATAGTAAAAAGAAATAGAGAAATAGGTGTGTGTATGTGTGTGTGTGTGTGAGTGAGAGAGAGAGAGAGAGAGAGAGAGATTACACATACAAACAATGCGTAATAAGATCAAATATAAACAGCAGAAGGCCAAATCTGACCCAGAAAGACTTCAAGAACTGCATTTATCAGACACAGAATACAAACAAATTACATTTTAAAAGTAATTAAATAATAGGTCTTAAAATTATTTAAAGAGAACTTCTAGAGATTAAAACATGGAAAAAAAACTTTCACGAATTGGTTTAAAACTTCACTAAAGAAAGAATTAGCGAAATAGAAAACAGATTGGAAGAGATTATCCAAAATTTAACAGAGACAAAGAATAAATATAAAAGAGGTTAAAGGACATGATGGATAGAATTATAAGGTCTAACATATCTAACATGACTTTCAGAAAGAAATTTTAAAAAGGAGAGATAACAATTGAAGATTTTATGGCTGAGACTATTGTAGAATTGATGAAAGGCACAAATCCATAGATCCAAGAACCAGCCAGGTTAAATTGAAGAGAAAACCATATTTTAAACACCTTATTCACATTGAAGAACAAAAGGTGAGGGTTTTAAAATCAGTCTTACTTCTCAACAGCAAATATGGAAGTGAAAACTATGGAGCTAAAAAAAAAATCTATGAAGCTAAAACATATTGAAACTATATCTCCAATATACTGAAAGAAGATATGAATCTATATTTGTTTACAAACCCTCTTAATAAGTTACATTTTTTTTTAAAAAGAGCGTGATATAAAGATATTTTCAGATAGTAAAAACAAAAGTCTCTACCTGCAGACTCAATTTAAAAGATATAATTCAGGCTGAAAGAGTTATCAGATGAAAGAATTGAGCTGTAAAAAGAAAATAATTGAATAATTGAAGAAAAAGCAAATATATGAGTAAAACCAAATAATTACTGAATATACAAAGCAGTAATAAAAATTTGTGAGGCTTAAAATTGAGAAAAATCTAGAATATGAAATAATATATAAGTCAGAAAGAGGATGATTAGGGTTGAAGTGTTACAAAATTCTTGTATTGTTCAAGAGGAGGGTAAAGAGAAGAATTGGCTTTAAACTTTGACAAATTAAATACATTTGATAAATTTTCAGTGTAATTCCAAAAGAACAGGAAAGAGAATATAATTTCCAAATCAGAGGACAGAAGGAAATCAAATAAGAAAAGACACTCTGACAATTTAAAAGAAAAAGAGAAACAGAAAAAACATGTTAACTTCAGGCGATAAATACAACGATAAAAAATTAACAGAAAGTAGATATATGTATATATCTAATCATGTGCCCAGCGGTGTTCTTAGCACTTTATGTATATTAGGTCACTCAATAGTTATAATGATGCTATGAGGGAGGGTTATTATTATAACCATTTTACAGATGAGAAAACTGGGGCACAGACTGTGTAACTAGGCCAAGGTTACACAGATAGTAAGTAATAGAGCTGATATTCAAACCAAGGCAGTATTTCTCAGAGGTCTATTCTCTTCAAGACTACTTCTATATTGTCTCACAAAAAGTAGGTTAATAGAAAAAGATCAAAGTACATTCTCTTGATAATAAATACCAATGGACATATACTCTATTCAAAAGAAAAATATTATAAGACTGAATCTTAAAAACCCAAGCTACCAAAAAATTAAAGATAAAAGTAGAGAGTAAAATGATGAAAACATATTTACCACACAAACATTAATGGGAAGAAAGCTAGTGTAAGTATATTTTAACAGATAAAATAAAATATAAGGGAAAAGCATTTCTGGAGCTAGAGGTAACTCTATAATAATCAAATGTTTAATTTACCAAGTAGCTATAAATATTCTAAACTTAAATATACTAATAACATAGCCTCAAAATCATTATCATAAATCAAAAATCGAGAGAACTTTATAGAGAAATAGAAAAATTCATCATCACATTGGAAAATTTGACTGCTCTTTCAGCACCTTACCGATGAAATCAGCAAGGAAATCTTGAAGGTAATTAAGTTAGAAGGAGGTCACTAGAGTGAACCCTAATTTAATAGGACTGGTGTCCTTATAAGAAGAGATTTGGACACAGAGGAAACACCATGTGAAATCACAGGGAGATGAACAGCTACAAAACAAGAAGAGAAGGCTCAGAAGAAACCAACCCTGCAACCTTGATCTTTGACTTCTGACCTTCAGAACTGTGAGAGAATACATTTCTGTTGTTTAAACCCCCAGTCTGTAGAACTTGTTATGGCTGCCTTGGCAAATTAATACATACAATAAATTAGCTTTATTCAATAGACATGTATGGAACAATGAACCTAACAAATGCAGAATGTGTTGTTTTGAAGCAATGTGGAACATTTATAAAAATTGGCTAAGTTCCAGGCTGTACATCAAGTCCTGAGACATTTCAAAGTGTTGGTATCATAGTGTTGACATTTTCCGATCACAGAATGTGTCAAATTAGATACAAACAACAAAAAGTAACCTAGAAATACCAAGATTAAAAATTAATATATATGCAGGCCTAGCTTATAGATCAAAGTAAAGATCATAATAGAAATAAAAAAATATTTAAAACTCAGATGAGAACAAAATAACAACGCGTGTATGTGTGTGAAGCTGAATTGTAACAGGAAAATTTAAAATTTGTGGTCTTACATTTTTAATATAGGAACAGAGGAAGGGCTGAAAATTAAGAAGTATATAAATTAAGAAGTTAGAAAATGAACAAAATAAACTGAGAAGAAAGAAAGAAAGAACTTAAGTGGAAACAACAAAACCAAAAATTGTTCATTTGAGAAGATTGCAAGACATCTGGTGAGAATGGTTTAAAAAGAAGAGAGAAAGCAGAAATGACCAATGTAAGGAATAAAAAACAGAATAATAATTATGCAGATACTATAGATATGTAAAGGATAAGACGAAACCTTGAAGAGGAAGAAACCATTTTTTGTAAATAAAAAAGGAAACCTAATTCGTCTATGAACATTAAACAAATTAAATCAATAGCTTAAAATTTACAATTACACACTAGCCCAGAAAGTTCTTCAAAATCCCGTAGAAAGAAACCCAATATTACACAAACTCTCCAATAGAAGTAAAAAACAAAGAAATACTTTGTAATTTATTTCAGGAGGCATAATCTTGATAGAAAATACAGTTAAGAAAGTTTGGGATAGGAAAATTATAGACCACTCTCACTCATTAACATTGTTACAAACATCTAAAACAAAATATTGACCATCTCATTTCATCAAATAATAAAATAGTTAATACATGAAGACAACACTGAGTTTAATTATTTAAGGAGTGCAAAGTTGTTTTAATATTGGAAAACAAATTCCTATAATTAATCACATTAACACATCAAAGAAGAAAAATCATGACCATCTCAACTGATGAAGAAAAATATTTGGTCTGGGTGAGGTGGCTCACACCTGTAATCCCAGCACTTTGGGAGGCCGAGGCGGGTGGATCACAAGGTTAGGAGTTTGAGACCAGTCTGGCCAACATAGTGAAACCCTGTCTCTACTAAAAATACAAAAAATTAGCCTGGTGTGGTGGCGTGCGTCCATAATCCCAGCTACTCAGGAGTCTGAGACAGGAGAATCCCATGAACCCTGAAGGCGGAGGTTGCAGTGAGCCGAGATCACACCGTTGCACTCCAGTCTGGGCGACAATCAGAGACTCCGTCTCAAATAAACAATCAATCAAACAAACAAAAAAAAATTGATAAAATTTTACATCCATGATCAAATGAAGTTCTAACAAAATAGGAATATAAGACAATTTTCTTAACCTTATCAAAAACCTACAGCAAACCTACTAATTACGATGCGTCCCTGAAAGTACCTTCTCTTCAACATTTTACTAGTAGTCTTGGCAAACACAGAAAGGCAAGAAAAAATGGGTTCACATACTTGGTGTGGTTAAAAAAAAAAAAAGAAAAAGTGGTAAGAGATGAAAAGGAAGAATCAAAACTGTCACTAATCACAGATGATACAAACAGTTATGTAGAAATCCTATACAGGTAAATAATTAAAAATAGCAAGAGAGTTTAGCTAGTTTCTTGGATTCAAAAATCAGTGTTTTTAAAAAAAGTACATTTCTATATGTCAAAAAACAAGTAGAAAAAATACATATATAA